GTGGTGAACAGGAAAAACACCAGAAACTTTTTTTTTTTTTTAATTCAGGATTCAGCCTGAAATTGATCGCAGCAATACGATGCAAAGCTACAGTAATTAACTAGTAATTGGGCAGGATTTCAACTTTCACGCCATCTTGTAAAGCCACAAAAATAAAGAACGACGCCCTTAACTATCATAAAACAAATCAGCAGTGCAACGAAATGGTGCGAGCCAGAAACCACTTTCCTTCCCACCCAACGTGAGTCACTCGGACCCCTCGTGACCGGCACTGAGTCAGGAGGTGACCTCAGGAGTCCCGCGAGGCGCACGGACAGACCTCTCTCCGAGTTCAGGGAGCAGCCAAGGCCGCAAGTCACGGGGTTTCTGTGTCAGGAAAAGGGAAGCGAGCTGTAGCATCTTCCCCACAGATTTTCTCGAAGCACCGGCTGTCATACCCAGAACGTCCACGAGCTTGGCATGGACAGGGCGGGCCCCTCTCGCGCCTGGACCCCCCCACGCTCCGTCGGACCCACACGACTGCTTCAAGGTCAGCCAGGCCGTGGTCCGGAGGGGCGTCAAACTCAGCTCCCACTCCCCGGCCACCTGGCTTTCTGCTCGTCCACGAAGCAGCCACGTTCAGACCAGCTGCTTCGTAGTGTGTGGCCAGGACGGGTGGGCTCATGCAGCGAAGGCAGCAGAGCCTGGGACGGTGTTTGTTTTTACACAGAATGTGTTTATATGGAACACACAGGTCTGACACAACCAAGAGGCAAAACACCGGAGTAAAACAGCAACGAAACACACGGTAGTTCATGCGCAATGCGTGAGGAATGGTTAACAGCTTTAGCCATAAACAAGCTCTTAAAAACCAGGAGCCGCTGAAACCGGTGTGGCTCAGTGGATAGAGCGCCGGCCTGTGGACTGAAAGGTCCTGGGTTCGATTCCGGTCAAGGGCGTGTACCTTGGTTGTGGGCACATCCCCCGTAGGGGGTGTGCAGGAGGCAGCTGGTCGATGTTTTTAACTCTCTATCCCTCTCCCTTCCTCTCTGTATAAAAATCAATAAAATATTTTTAAATAAATAAATACCAGGAGCAGACACTGCAATAACGCAAGGGAACCAGAACCAGTGGAGGGGAGCACACAGGGATGACGAGGCGTAGAGCACGTGTGACTGCTGGGCGGAGGGAGAGTGATGTCTGCGCCGTGTCTGCGAGCAGGATAGACCCGGTGCGTCGTGGCCCCAGCTCTGCCCCGCGCGGTGCGGGAGGCCCTGAGGGGCAGCTGGTCCTGCCGCCCTTCCGGAGCACAGAGCGCCGGCGCCCGCAGAGGCCGCCCGCAGAGCGATGGCCACGCGGAGACCGGTGCGGGGAGGAGGCTTCCCTTCGCCCGCCGGCTCCGGGTCTGTCCTCGCTCCCGGGACCGGAGGCCGCCGGGAGCCGGTGGCTGGACAGTCCTCCCCACGCAGGGCCGGCCCCGGGCCCTCGCTCTGCGGCACGTCCCCCCCGGGGGCGGGCGGCGCTCGCTGGGCACGTCCCCCCCGGGGGCGGGCGACACTCGCCGGGCACGTCCCCCCGGGGGCGGGCGGCGCTGGGCCGGGCACGTCCCCCCGGGGGCGGGCGACACTCGCCGGGCACGTCCCCCCGGGGGCGGGCGGCGCTGGGCCGGGCACGTCCCCCCGGGGGCGGGCAGCGCTCGGCCGGGCGCTGGGCGCTGGGCTCCCGGGTCCCGGCTCCCGGCTCCCGGCTCCCGGCTCCGGCTCCCGGCTCCCGGCTCCCGGCTCCCGGCTCCGGCTCCGGCTCCCGGCGTCTGTGTCCCCCGGACCCTGGCTCGGGGCTCCCTTATTCTAGCAGCCCCTGCGCCCTCACCGTGTCCCCAGCCCCGGAAAGGGCAGGCGGGGCGGTGGGTGCTGTTCTCAGGAGACCGCCCGAGGCCTCTCCCAGGTCCTCTCTGGACCGCCCCGCTCCTCCCCTCAGCCCGCCTTCCTCTTCAGCGCCAAGGGTCCCCGAGGCCTGCAGCCAGGGCAGCGGCGGGCAGCGGCGGGCGGCGGCGGCGTGCCCGGGCTCACGCCACGCCCGGCCCCGGCCCTCTCCTCCGCCGTGCGGTGGCCCCCGGCTCAGCTCTCCTGCCACACCTCCTGCCACTCGCCGGGCTCTCTCTCCCGTCGTCTCTCCCCTGGGCCCCTCCTCGCCCCTCGGTCCCAAACAAAGTCAGCACAGCCAGCGGGTTAAACCGGGAAAGCCATCGTCCGAGCGAGGCGGAGAGCCAGGGCGGGTCCTCACGCCCACGCCTCCACACGTGTGTCCCTGGCCGGCATGTCCACACCCCGCACATGCTCGGCCACGGGCATGTTACCGCTGCCCCAGGGCACCTCCCGCAGGCCCCTCCGGGGAGCGGATGGTGCAGAGGAGAATCTCCGCCTTCCCCCCAGCTGTGCTGAGAACCGGAACTTCTCTCTATCTAGGCCCCGGGCACAGACACCGGGGTTGTGCCAGGACAGCAGCCGGACCGGCGGGCTCCTCCGAGTAGGGGCGAGAGGGGGCGAGGCCAGCCGCCTCCAGGCCGAGGGACGACGGGGAAGGTGTTGATGTTGGGCCGCTGATGTCCCCTACAGACGTGTTCTCACAACAGCGCGATAAACAGAAGAGCGGGCCGCTGTCATGGCCCCTGCGTCACCTCCTGGATGGTGGGTGCTGTGCTCCGTTTACTAGAGGAAGCTTTTTTAATTTTTTTAATTTTTTTTTTAAATATATTTTATTGATTTTGTACAAAGAGGAAGGGAAAGAGATAGAGAGTTAGAAACATCGATGAGAGAGAGTCATCGATCAGCTGCCTCTTGCACACCCCCTACTGGGGATATGTCCGCAACCAAGGTACATGCCCTTGACCGGAATCGAACCCGGGACCCTTCAGTCCCCAAGCCGACGCTCTATCCATTGAGCCAAACCAGTCCCGGCTAGAGGAAGCTTTTTAAAAATATATATATATTTTATTGATTTTCCACAGAAAGAAAGAGATAGGGATAGAGAGCTGGAAACATCGATGAGAGAGAATCATCGATCAGCCACCTCCTGCACACCCCCTACCGGGGATGTGCCCGCAGCCAAGGTCCATGCCCTTGACCGGAATTGAACCCGGGACCTTTTAGTCCGCAGGCTGACGCCCTATCCACTGAGCCACACCGGCTTCGGCTAGGGGAAACTTTAACAAGATCTGTGTCTACGCCCGAGCGGACAGCTGTCAGATTCCAACGGGAGGACATGGGACAGATAGACAAGGTACAAACCCTATGGTGAGGTTTCCCTGCCACGTGGGTGCCACAGGCCAGCACCTTTACCCTGCCCCCGCCCTTCGAGGACCAGGCCTGCCACCGGACGGCAGAGCTGAGCACCGGCTGCCCCACGGCCACAGGCCTGCTGGCCTCAGGGAGGCCTGTCCCCGGCTTCACAGCCCGCACCTTTTATGTTACCGCCGCCTCCACCTGAGAAGGCACGGGCAGAAGGCTGAGTCTAAGCGTGTTTACTTTAAGCCTCGTCGCCGCTAGGGGTCCATGCGTAACACGCGTGTCTTCTCCATGTTCAGTGAGAGCCGACGGCATGTTTCTGTCCCTGAAACTCTGACCTCCGCGGCGGCCCGAGGAGAGTCCCGCCAGCATGCTCAGCTGAGAACGCCCCCCGGAATCCCTCGCCTGTGGAGTTAGGGTTCCCAGCACGAACGCACCCGGGGGCAGGGCCGGCCTGTGGCCGCGGTCGGTGCGGGATGCTGGGAAGTCTGAGCCACGAACAGCACTGCTCCCCGGGTGGCCGCTCTGGCCTGCTCCCGGGCTGGCTGGAAAAGGGTCGGGGACTGGCTGAACCCCAATGAGAGGTGCCCTCCCAGGGATAACATGGGGCGAAGAGATGAGAAGGAAGGGCCGGGCCAGGGCTGCAGGGAAGGGAGGACCGCAGCTGCAGTGATGGGAGCTGGTCAGCACTCAGGAAGGGCCTGCTATGGACTCGCTTCAACACGATGGAGGCAGAGGCAGGGACAGGGGCAGAGGCAGGGACAGGGGCAGGGGCAGGGACAGAGGCAGGGACAGGGGCAGGGACAGAGGCAGGGACAGGGGCAGGGGCAGGGACAGGGACAGGGGCAGGGGCAGGGGCAGGGACAGGGGCAGGGGCAGAGGCAGGGACAGGGGCAGGGGCAGAGGCAGGGGCAGGGGCAGGGGCAGGGACAGGGGCAGGGACAGGGATAGGGGCAGAGGCAGGGACAGGGGCAGGGGCAGGGACAGAGGTAGGGACAGGGGCAGGGACAGGGGCAGAGGCAGAGGCAGAGGCAGCTGGGCGGCCCCTGACCTCAGCACCGAGCCGGGTGAGCTCGGACTCGGACCCGGACCCCCCTGGTGCACCCCCTGTCTTGGATGGGCACCCAGCTTTTCCTGAGGAGGATGGGGTGTCTGCTTTCCCCAGAGCCGTCCCTGCAGCCACAGGGGCTGCAAACGCCCGCACCCGGCTCACCCACCGCGGAGACGGCCCCATGCTGCTGCCCTGCTCCGTGGCCCTGGCTTGTGAAACGGTCACCCTGCACCCCAGGGGCAGGGACGGCGGGGGGCCCACCCAGGGCACACGGGGGAGTTGTCAGAAGGTGGGGCCAGCCTAGCCCAGCCCCGGCCGCCAAGCACAGCCCGCCACACACAGCACCCGGGCTCTGCTCCTGCCCTCCGCCCCCCAGGCCCGCGGGCTGCAGGGGGCGCGGGCACACCGGGTATGGGGTGCACAGGCTGCGCTGAGGACTTTCTCCCACACCTTTTCGCACCTACAAGCCTCCTGCCCGGCCTGCACCGCCACCTCCACCTGCCTGTTGCTGCTGCTGTGGCGGCGGCAGCTGCACGCGCCCGCCACCAGGGGGCAGCGGCGGCGCGGGCCCGGCGCTCGGCGGCTCGGGCGTCGCTTGCTCCGGCCTGGTCCCGGGCGATCGCTCGGCGCTCGGCGCTCGGCGCGCGCGGCTGGGGACGTGGGCGGCGCGGCCCCGCCCCCGGCGGCGGCGGCGGCTCAGTCGGCGGCGGCGCGCGGCGCGGGCGGCGGCGCGGCGGGCGCGGCGGCGGCGTGGGCTCCTCCGCGGCCCTGGGCGGCCTCCCCGCGGGCTCGGCGGGCACCATGGCGCTGCGCGCCCGCGCGCTGTACGACTTCAGGTCGGAGAACCCGGGCGAGATCTCGCTGCGCGAGCACGAGGTGCTGAGCCTGTGCAGCGAGCGGGACATCGAGGGCTGGCTGGAGGGCGTCAACAGCCGCGGCGACCGCGGCCTCTTCCCCGCCTCCTACGTGCAGGTGCTCCGCGCGCCCGAGCCGGGCCCCGGCCCCGCGCCCGACGCCGGCCCGGCCCGCTACGCCAACGTGCCGCCCGGCGGCCTGGAGCCCCTGCCCGCGCCGCCCGCCGCCTTCCAGCCCCCGAGCACCTTCCAGGCCCCGAGCTCCTTCCAGCCCCCGAGCTCCTTCCAGCCGCCGAGCTCCTTCCAGGCTCTGAGCACCTTCCAACCTCCCAGCGCCTTCCAGGCTCCGAGCTCCTTCCAGCCGCCGGGCGCCGGCCTCCCGCTCGCCGGGGCCGCCCCGCAGCCGTACGGCGGCGGCTCCCCGGGCTCCCAGGGCAGCGACGACGACTGGGACGACGAGTGGGACGACAGCTCGACGGTGGCGGACGAGCCGGGCGCGTCCCTGGACCCGGACGGCTCCTCCGCGGGGGCCTCCGGCCGCTACCGCCTGTCCACGGCCCCGGGCCCCGCGGCCCCGCACCCGCCGCCCGGCGCGGCCAAGAGCTCGGCCACCGTGAGCCGCAACCTGAACCGCTTCTCCACCTTCGTCAAGTCGGGCGGCGAGGCCTTCGTGCTGGGCGAGGCGTCGGGCTTCGTCCGCGACGGCGACAAGCTGTGCGTGGTGCTGGGCCCGCACGGCCCCGAGTGGCAGGAGAACCCCTACCCGTTCCGCTGCTCCATCGACGACCCCACCAAGCAGACCAAGTTCAAGGGCATGAAGAGCTACATCGCCTACCGCCTGGTGCCCACGCACACGCGCGCGCCCGTGTACCGGCGCTACAAGCACTTCGACTGGCTGTACGCGCGCCTGGCGCAGAAGTTCCCGGTCATCTCCGTGCCGCACCTGCCCGAGAAGCAGGCCACCGGCCGCTTCGACGAGGACTTCATCGCCAAGCGCCGCCGCGGCCTGCTCTGGTGGATGGACCACATGGCCAGCCACCCGGTGCTGGCGCGCTGCGACGCCTTCCAGCACTTCCTCACCTGCCCGAGCGGCGGCGACGGCGAGCGCGCCTGGAAGCAGGGCAAGCGGCGCGCCGAGCGCGACGAGATGGTGGGCGCCAGCTTCTTCCTGACGCTCAGCACGCCGCCCGCCGCCGCGCTGGACCTGCAGGAGGTGGAGAGCCGCGTGGACGGCTTCCGCAGCTTCACCCGCAGGATGGACGACAGCGCGCTGCAGCTGGCGCACACGGCCACCGAGTTCGCGCGCAAGCAGGCCACGGGCTTCCGCAAGGAGTACCAGAAGGTGGGCCAGGCGCTGCGCGGCCTCGGCCAGGCCTTCGAGCTGGACCAGCAGGCCTTCTCCGCCGGCCTCAACCAGGCCATCGCCTTCACCGGCGACGCCTACGACGCCATCGGCGAGCTGTTCGCCGAGCAGCCCCGCCAGGACCTGGACCCCGTCATGGACCTGCTGGCGCTGTACCAGGGCCACCTGGCCAACTTCCCCGACATCATCCACGTGCAGAAAGGTGAGGCCCGGGGCGGGGCAGGGGCGGCGGGGAGGGGCGTGGTGCCCCGACAGACAGGCTGCTCTGGCCCGGGGACCGGGGGCGGTGTCTACGGCATCGCCGGGGAATTTGGATGTTTGGGCCGGGCCCTTCTGGGGTCCGTGTCCAGGGCCCAGCGGGAGGGGACCCACACCAGCAGGGTCCTCTGTGAGCACTGGGGTCCCGTAGGGCCGGGGTCAGGAAGCGTGGACCCCAGGGGGAGGCTTACCTGCAAACACCGCTGAGTCCGCCCTCACTCCCCGCTCCCTGCTGGGAGGAATTGGGTCTGTCCTCCGAGGGACGGGCGGGGAGCGGAAGCACTCAGCTTCCTGCAGGGCCTCCCTGCAGCCTCCAGCCGGAGACTTTGAGGAAGTTTGAGGAATCTGTTCTGGCCAGTGATGGTGGTGGGAGTCCGGGAGCCCGGAGCTGGGAGCGCGTTGAGGAAGGGATGTGGGAGGAAGCTGAGCGTCGGTCTGAGGGCCTTGTCCCGGCCTCTCGGTGGGAACCAGGAGCTGCCAGCTCCGAGGGCCTTACCGGGTAGAGCTCCCTGACACTCCGCGCAGCTAAACGGGCCCTTTGTTCCTTCCCATCGTCAATGGGAGCAGTGTGGCCTGGGGACATCCCTCCCTGTGCCTTCCCGGTGGGGCCTGGGTGCGGGCTGGGGCTGGGTCTCCCTCCTGTGAGGGTGGGGAGGGGAGGAGGCGTCACCCAGCTGACTCCCCCGGGGAGACCTGGGCCACCGGGCTGGCCTTCCGTGGTGAGGAGTCGCTGTGAGGACCCCGCTGGCCTCTGACAGGGCCTCACGGGCATTGAACCGAAAGCTGCCTCTGGAGCCTCTTTCTCTCCCAGAGCCACACAGACCTGCCTGTCCCTCCTGCCATGTCCGCCTCAGACCCTGTTCCTCCCCCTCCAGTCCATGCCTGTGGGGACAGCACCTCCCGCAGCGGGTGTGAGGGCAGCGGTCAGACTGAGAGGAGCCCAGCGCTGCGGCCTGCTGAGCCTGCCTCACCCCGCCTGTGTGCTCTGTGCACAAACTGGTGTGAATCCCTGAGCCGGCCGGCACTGGTAGACTCACTCTTTGGCCTTGAATGCAGGACGAGACATTTAAATTCCATTTGTGTCACGCCCGTGGGCCCCGGGCCGGCTGCCTCTCTGTTTATGTAACTTATGCAAATGTGGGTGAGTAGGTGGAGGGTGGAGCCAAGCGCACACACCTGTGGCCTTGACTCAGGTGACTGGTTCTGCCCGCCCTGGTCTCCCTGTCGCTCAGCCACACTCCGCCCAGCGCCTGCTCCGAAATGACTTACAAAGGCCGTGTGCTTGGCGTTTACGGCAGTGCTTGGTGGAGTCCATTAACCATGTGGCTGGTTTATTTTTGTAATCCTAAAGTTAAAACTCTCCTATGACTTGGGATTGGAGAAACTCCCTTTATTAAACCCAGGCCGTTTCATGTCGCTTAGAATAACCCAGCACCTGGGAGGAACACCCATCCGTGGTCAGTGTTTGTCTGTGCCGTGGCCTCGGTGTGTGATGCTCAGGACCTGTGTCCCTGGATGACATGTGTTTACAATGTCTGTCATTTAAGGTGCACTGGGTCACAGGCTGTGGTTATCGGGAGGCTGTGTCACACCGGGCGACGCCCTGCGAATGTGCCCCGGGCATCGCAGCTCCCCCACCCCACCCCCAGCACCTCCTTACTGCACAGGGGCTGCTGGAAGGAACCTGGGATCCCGTTTACAGGTTGTTTTTCCTCCAAGGCCTCCAAGCTCAGTCCAAGGAGAACAAGAACAAGAAGATAAAACCCGTTAAGCACTTGGTCCCACGTTTATACTTCAGCTCGGGGAGAACGTTAGAAATTCAGAAGGATTGTTTCATCTCTCACGTTCCTGTTGCTTGCGTTTCAGCAGGAGGAAACCGGTTCCCTCCTGCATCTCGCGGTCTGACAGGAAATGATTGGGAAGAGCTTTTCAGGAACTCGTGCAGTAGAGAGGGGTTAGTGAGGTTCCCCCTCAGCTCCTGGGTTTAGGGCGGGGACATTCACACACAGAAAGGCCGGCTCCTGGCTGGTCTCTCGCCCAGGAGCCGGCCTTTCTCTGTGTGAGCGGTGCCTCCGTGCTGGCGCTGAGCCACGCGTGGCCATCTCCGTGGAAGGAGAGGGAGCACTCAGCCTCCCACCTGCTCCGTGCTGAGTGCCTCCAGCCGGCGGCCACCACCGGGCCTGCAGGGGTGTGGCGGGCCTTCCCTCCGCCGAAGGCCGAGGCCTCCCTCGCTGGACCGCCATCCCCTCGACCTTCTCCGGCAGCCAGTGGTCTCCCCGCAGCCTCCCGCCCCCTCCCGCCCACGTGGGCGAAGGAGGAATTACAGGGACGCAGGCCGCTGGCCCCTCAGCCCATGGGGACCCCAGTGCTCAGCAGCCGCCTCGGGACGGGCGCCTGGGTGAGCCTGGGTGAGCGGGGACCTATGGTTGATGTGTGGCTGGCGCTCCTGGCGGTGTTAGTGCCAAAGCCGGCGTTTAAACGAAGCCGTTTCACTGTGCGTGCTTTCTGCAGCATTGAAGAACGTCATTGGTTCCTTTAGCCGAAAGAGAATTCTAGAAGGGTGACTTTTCCCTCAGCTAATGGAGTCCGGGACACACAGGCCTGCTGTGGTCTGTGGGGCTGAGGGAAGGGAGAAGGCGGCTTCTCTGGTCTGCAGTGCAGCGGATGGGAATTCAGAACCTGTGGGATTTCATCCATGTTTGGCTTTGTCTGAAGAGGAGTCCCACCCAGCTGGCCTGGCTCAGTGGCTGAGCACCGACCATGAACCAGGAGGTCACAGGTCATGGTTCGGTTCCCGGTCAGAGCCTGTGCCCAGGCTGTGGGCTTGATCCCCAGTGTGGGGCCTGCAGAGGCAGCCCACCCATGATTCCCTCTCATCACTGATGTTTCTATCTCTATCCCTTCCTCTCTCTAAAATCAATACAAACACTTTAAGAAAGGCGAGGAATCCCGTTAATTCTCTGCTCACTGACTCCTGCGAGGCAGACCTCACAGCTGGTGCCCGTAGTCTCCGTTTTCTCTTCTCATCCTCCCTGCCCACAGTGCTGCGATGTTGGTGAGTGTGAGGAACAACAGAGGATCTGTCTCTTTCTTAGCTCATTTCTCCGTTTCCAAAGATCTGACTAACCTCCGTGAGCTGTGGGCTCACCTGCGGGGAGTACAGGAGGGCAGGATGGAAACATTGGAGCGGAGAGCGCGGCTTTCTCTCTGCTGGTGACGGGGAGACCCTCGGGGTGCAGGCACGTCCAGGCGGCTGAGGGTCTGAGGGGTGACGCAGGAGGAAGTGGACGTGTCCACCAGGTGTCCTGGAATGACACAGTCAGCGGCTGGTTCTCAACCTCTGAAGCCCCAGAGAAGCCTCTGTCCCACCAAAACCGCCAGGGGCGGGAGTGGTACTGGCCTGGCCTGGCACCGCCCTCCGGGCAGAGTTTCCCATTGTGCGCCCGCCCCGCCCCCGGGCGCAGGGAGGCCTCCCAGGGGGATTGGAGATAGCCGGTCCCTCCCACAGGGACTGACTGGCCGGCTCCCTCCGGGCGGGTGAGGCCGGCTGCCTGGGCCCTTCCGGTCTGCGTCCAGTCTCCTGGGCTAAAGCCAGCCCTGGGGGTGGGCCAGGGAGGCCGGGAGGAGGTCTAAGGGTCTGGGTAGCTCCCTAGTGAAGGAGGTCAGTCACACGCATGTCTGCTCCTGGGAAAGGTTTTATATGTTACTCAGCAGGTGGGAAGACGGTGGGGGTGGGGGCGGCTAATAGTCATTAGGCTGTGCGTAGGCCTCAGAGAGAGCCTGGTTTATTCAGCACACGTCTCAGTGCCAGGGCTGGGCCCGCCCTGTGGGTCAGGGGTGGCATTGCACGTGGACGGGAGGTTGCTGGTTCGACTCCCGGCCGGGCACGTGCCCAGTGGGGTGTGTGCAGCCCATTGATGTGTGGCTCTCATTTGGTGTTTCTCCCTCTCCCTTCCTCTCTCTCTAAAAACCAGTGGAAAGTATTTAGAGACAAGATGCTCGGGGTATCGGTGACGGAAGCAGAGCACTGCCTGGTGGAGGTGCCTGCTAGCGGGTAGGGACAGACCTGGTGGCCTGTGCTGCTGGCGGGTGGGGAAACGCAGACACAGACGCAGTGCTGGCGCTCCCGGGCGCCGGCGTGTGGGGTGCGGGGACGGCCGAGCAGCAGGACGTGAGCGGGGGGCAGGATGGCGTTTTAAAGGGTGCTCTGGTCGGCCTCCTTGGCAGCTGGAATCTAAGCAGAGGCCTGAGGAGGCCAGGGCGCTGGGGGGCGGGGCACCGGGGGCCCAGCGAGAGGATTTGGGGGGAAGGGCCTGAGGCCTGACTGCGGGGCTGTGGGTTGTAGTCAGCGGTGGGTGGACTGGAGCAGGGTTTGAGCCCGGCCTGATGGGCAGCTGGTCCTGACTGTGAGGACCGAGCGGGGAGGGGCAGTGCCACAGGCAGGAGCAGGGAGCCGGCAGGAAGCTGCCCGCTGATCCAGAGAGCCCGGAGGCTGGGCCAGGGATGGGGGCCGCAGCGGAGAGGGGAGAGGCCGTCGGGGTGTGTAGAGGTGGAGTGGACGGGCTTCCCTGAGCGGCCCGGTGGGCGGGGAGGGGGCGGTCTGCCCGCAGGGAGGTGGAGCTTCCCCGGCTGCTGTGAGGGGGGCTGGGACCCGGGGGCTGGAAGCGGTGAGGCTGGTGCTGCTGGGTGGACTGGCCGCTGTGCCCTCCCCTCCCCTCCCCTCCCCGCCCAGCACAGCCGCAGGCTGGCCTCTCCCTCCCTGGGGCCGCGTGCCGCCCTCTCCGGTGATCACCTGGGGGTGGAGCCAGGGCGGACCTGCCTGGGGAGGCGCACGCCGGTCCTGGTCCTGCGGGAGTCCTGTAGGAGGTGTGTGGACGGTGGAGGTGGACCTGGACGTGTGTGGTGTTGGCAGGGAGAGGCCAGGGTCCGAGGAGCAGGGGTGTCGGCTGTGGGCTGTGGGGAGCCTCGGGCTTTTCCTAGAAAGGCCGTCACGGTGACTTGGAGGACTGGGTGGCTGTGCAGGTGGGTCTCGGAAACCCTTGGGGGCTTGCTGAGCACCAGTGGCTGCACCCGCACCTGCAGCTCAGCGAGAGGCCGACAGCTGGAGCTTCCCCTGCAGAGGGCACGCACACGCGTGGGCATGTGCGCCTGTGACACAGGACGGGGTGACTGACTGGGCGGGAGGAGTGAGGGGAACAGGAGGCCGTCTAGCCGGCAGGGGGGGCGGGGGGCCCTGTGTTCTGAACCCCGGTACGAGCCCAGGCCAGGTGTGGCTCCTGGAGCAGCCGGGAGGCCTCGGCGGTGGGCTGGCCACCTGGCTCTGCTGTCAGTGCAGCCTGCCCTGGGCTCTGAGAACAGCCCTCCGGTGATGTGCGGTCAGTGGAGGGCGGGAGGGGGGGGGGGGGGCTCACTGGTCAGACGGGGCGTGGCCGGGCAGCCCCGCCTGAGGGGCATGTCCGGTGGCCTAGTAGAGGGTGGCCCGGGAGGGGTGAGGCCAGACGTGATGGAATCCCAAGCTGACGGGGCGTCGGGGGGACTGGGGGGGGGGAGACACGCGGACGGGCTGGGTCCCTCCAGGAGGGGAAGGGGGCTAAAGGGACTGCAGACCGGGCTGTGGAGCCACCAGCGGAGGGGCTGTCTGTTCACAGAACTTGAGCTAAGGGTGGTTTTTACTTAAATGTTTTTCTTTTGATTCCAGTGAGTGAGGCAGGGAGGGAGGGGGAGAGGTTGGGTTTGGAGGTGAATCCCCTCCTTTCCCCCGGCAGGCAGGAGGTGACCACAGAGAGCTGCCTGAGTCCCCCAGGGGCCAGCTGGCCCGGCTCCCGGAGCTCCCGGGGGCCGAGCACAGCCCGAGGGCTGCAGTGACCGGCCGCAGGCGTGGAAAGGGCAGGTGAGCACAGACACGGGAGGGGGGCTGAGGGCGTGGCTCTCCGGAGTCCCCAGTTCCCTCGGAGGCCCTGTGGGGCAGGGGAGTGAGGCGCAGTGGGAAGCCGTTCAGAAGAGGGGCATGTCGAGAAGGTCGGGAGGTCAGGCGTGGGCCTGAGGGAGCTGAGGAGCCCCTTCCTGGGCTTGGCTATGGGGACTGGCGACCTGGGGAAAAGCCACGGCTGGCTGCAGAGAGAGCCTGGGCACTGGCGTGTGGGATCGGGGCCGAGCGTGGCCTGTGACGGCGGTGCCTCGTGTCTGCCTGACGCGTGTTCCGGTGCTGTCTGTCCAGCGGGTACGAGAAGGCCCGGGAACCCAGGGTCAGGTGTCCTCGGCGGAACGCTCTCGCAGGGACTGTCCCCAGCGCGTAGAGGCCGTGGGCGGTGGGACTGCCAGGACACGGGCACCGTGGGCACAGGAAGGTCACAGCCAGCCGTGCAGCCCAGCAGTCAGCGCCAGCGTCGCTCCCGGAGCAGATGGTGAGCCGGGCCTGCAGCTACAGTTCTGCTGGTAGAGACCGGCGTCCTCAGCAGAGTGCTGGGCCGCCCAGCGTGTCCCTGAGAGCGTCCTTGTCGCTGCGCTCCGTCTGCCCTGCGGCCGCCTCAGCCCGGGCCCTCCACACCGAGCCGCCGCCTCCACCTGCCCCAGGAGGAGCTGTGCAGCGGCTTCTCGGGGACGTATCCCGCTCCGCCTAGAAAAAAGGACTATGGTTTCTGAGATGTTTTCTCAAAGAAAGAAAGACAGTAACCATTGGAGCAGAGACAGAGTCCTGGGTGGGTGGGGCGGAGGGAGGGAGGGAGGGAGGGACAGTGGCGGTGAGCGGGGCTCGGGTGGGGCTGCTGGAGGAGAAGGGCGAAGTAGGCCACTGGGCCACATTAGCATTTCCTCTGAGGTTCCCGCGGGCCAGCGAGAAGAGGTGAGAAGTGTCCGGTCCTGGGCTCTCCTCGGCCTGCCTCCTGCCCAGTCACACGGTGGCTTCTGGGCACGGCCCCGGCAGAGCATCGTGCTGGCACGTTCATGGTGCCAAACTTCAGTCAGTGCTTGCTTTTCTTAAAACGTCTTCTTTCAGGGAAGATGGAGCTTTGGATCCCTGTTGCCTAGTGACTGGGCCTTTTGTGTCACTGGTCCTAGGAGGACGGAACTTACCGGAACACGGGATCTGCTTGAGGGGAGAAAGGCGCGTTCTGGAGCAGCCAGCCAGCCCTGGGGCCCTGGGGGGGGGGGGGGGGAGGCCACAGAGGGGTCTGCAGGGGAGCCTGTCAGCTCCTTCAGCCAAGTTTTAGGTGCCAGGCAGCTCAGTGCCCGGGTGCCCGGGCTGTGATGTCGGCGAGCTGTCACGGGTTAAGCTCTGGAGCCTTGGTTGGTGTATCTGTTACGAGCATGCGAACGTAACCCTCTGAACACCCAGTGCCGCGGTCAGACCCGGTGGCGCTGCCTCCCTCTGCTCCTTCCAGCTGCACCAGGTGCCTCACCAGGAAGGGGTGGGAGAGGCGGGGCCCGGGCCGTGGCTGCTGTGGTGGTGGAGGGGGAAGGGGCAGAGGCCTGTCTCTGGGCGGGAGTTGCGGTCAGTGGGACAGTGAGCCGTGGGGTTTGGTCCATGGTACATCCAGGCGATCTGCCGGGGACGGCCTGCAGCAGCCCCGCCCCCCGCTTCCTTTCGCCGGGAGGAGGGCGGCCACAGCCTGGCACAGGCCTGTGGGGTGGAGGTGGGAGCGGCCGGCGGGAGGGCTGGCCAGCGCCTTGGCAGGGCTTAGTGGCAGGATGTGGGGCGGGTCACGCCGCCCGTGTTTGTGAGGCAGAGAGCTGCACCCACTGCGCTGTGGCCCTTCCGGCTCTTTACAGGGGCAAAGCCTCGGTGGGAAGAAAGGCCTGGGGTCTGGCTCCTCCTCTGGGGATGAGGTCACCGTTCGCAGGGAGCGCTCCCGTGGAGACGTTCCAGCGCAGCACCCAGCTCGCTGGCCCGGTAATGACACCGAGTCTGCGGCAGCTCCTGCAGTGTGCGCCTTCCCGAGGCCGAGGCCCTGGAGGCCCGTGGCCGTGGCCGTGGCCGGGTGTGGCCGGTGCGCGGGGCTGACGTAGGGCCTCGCTTTTTTCCTGGCTCTGTCCTCAGGAGGGTGTGTTTCAGCCGGAAGCTGGGGAGGCTGTGCTGCTCTGCGGTCCCTCCTGCAGGTTGTGTTTCCCTCTGGCGGTGCCGGTTACTGTGAGCGCCCTCCCGGCTCCCCAGCTCCCCGTTACTGTGAGCGCCCTCCCAGCTCCATGCCAGGCCCTCCTGCTTCACGTGGTGTCATGGGGTGGCCTGGCCTCGGGGGCCTGCAGGAGGCCTTCGCCCGTGGCCCTTGTCCGCACACACTGGGTCCTCCATGAGGCGGTTCCCTGAAACCATGTTCTTGCCCTGGAACCTGTGGGCGCTTCGGAGAGAGCAGCGTTTGTTTTATTTCCCAGTGGATCCACATGTGGGAGGGAATGGGTCTCCGATTCGCCCGGGTCCTGTATTACTCTATATACGAACAACTGGTGTGTAAAGCTCCGGGCCACGGGTGCTAATGGCCTCTCCCCGCAGGCGCGCTGACCAAGGTGAAGGAGAGCCGGCGGCATGTGGAGGAGGGCAAGATGGAGGCGCAGAAGGCGGACGGCATCCTGGAGCGCTGCAACACCATCTCCTACGCCACGCTGGCCGAGATCCACCACTTCCACCGGGTGCGCGTGCGCGACTTCCGGGCCCAGATGCAGCACTTCCTGCAGCAGCAGATCCTGTTCTTCCAGAAGGTGACGCAGAGGCTGGAGGAGGCGCTGCACCAGTACGACAGCGTGTAGGCGCGGGCGGGCGCTCCGGCCACGGGGACTCTGCCCGGCACAGACCGCGCAGCTGCTGCCGCTCCACATGGCGCCGCCGGGCTGTGCGCCCGGGCGCTCCGGCCACGGGGACTCCGCCCGGCACAGACCACGCAGCTGCTGCCGCTCCGCCCGTGTGGCCCCGCCGGCTGTGCGCCCGGGCGCTCCGGCCACGGGGACTCTGCCCGGCACAGACCACGCAGCTGCTGCCGCTCCACATGGCGCCGCCGGGCTGTGCGCCCGGGCGCTCCGGCCACGGGGACTCCTCCCGGCACAGACCGCGCAGCTGCTGCCGCTCCACATGGTCTCGCCGGGCTGTGCGCCCGGGCGCTCCGGCCACGGGGACTCCGCCCGGCACAGACCGCGCAGCTGCTGCCGCTCCGCCCGTGTGGCCCCGCCGGGCGCCGTGGGACTGGCCGTGCTGGCCGGGGCGGCCGTGGCACGGCAGTAAGGCCTGGACCGCTGTAGCTCAGTTACATATGTACCCTACACTACCACGTAACGGATGTGATTGTACTCTTCGCCTTATGCTTTCCGGAGGATGGGTCTTCAGCGCAGACGTGGCCGACCTCAGAGCCTGGCGGGGTCTCGGGGAGCCCCAGCCAGCCCGCCCCATGCCTTCCCCGCCCGCAGATGGGGTCCCCGAAATCCAGCCTGTTCTCTGTTTACAAACCCCGACGAGAGCAGCTGCGCGACTTCGTGCCTTTAGACGGGGGTTTTCATTTCCCCGCCCCTTTACAGAGCAGCCACGACTTTGATCGGAAGGCGAAAGGCCGGTGCGCACTGGGCAGCCTGCTGGTGACGGCAGCGCGGCGGAGGGACTGGCCGTCCGGTGGGGAGGCCGCGGGCACTCTGCTCCCTTCGTGCTCGCGTGGCCTCCCCCCGCATCCTGAGGCCTGTGTGCGGGCACGCACCGCTCACCACCGAGGCAGGGCCGGCCCGGGACAGGCGGGTTCGGGAGGATGCGGGCTCTGCTGGAGGGTGCTTTGCTTTCCTTTTAGCTGAAGGTTTTCTTTCCGCTCAGTGTGATGTTTTCTAACGGATCTACACTGTTAACCGATCGAGACTCCACTGTGACTCACTCACTCGTTTACTTAATCGACCACTTTTCAGGGATGTCTGTGAATTCAGTGTTACACGTGATGCGAGTAGCGTTGACCTGAGGAGGGACCAGAAATAATCCTATTCCAGATGTTGAGAGCAAGAAGAATTGTTATTTTTAAGTACTGATAATCCCCCAGGACATTTATCATTAAAGTTACCTTAAATATATTCTTTTAAAGAAAATACAAAGGCTGACGCATACCAAAAAGATTCCAAAGCAGCTTCGTTTTAAAAAGCACAAAGATTCCGGCTGGTAATGCCCCTCTCCATGTTTCTCATCTTGCTGAGCTAAAACCATCCGGTTGCGTTTAGAGATGCTAAAAGGTTGGGTTCCTGCTGTTTTTAGGAAGTGAGACTTGCACTGCCCCAGAACTGGGCGTGGGTGTGGGCATGGGTGCACAGAAGCCAGAGGCTGTTTGAAATACCGGGGAGGCGCATTGATTAAGGAAGAGGGCAGTTATCAGAATTACTCAGCAGCAGAATTACTCTGAGAGGAATCTCCGATGGGAGGGTTTTTAAGATCAGGGTCTCCTAATTGTTATCAACACTGTATTCCTTAGGCTGTCTCCAGGGAGACTGTGACCAAATACATTGTTCTCTAAGGAGTGACTTCCTCTCGCTGATGGAAAATACAGTTTGATAAAACCCATGTGTGCATAAATGTCAATTTTATGGCAGAAGTTTGGAGATTATAATTGTAGCATTTAAGTTTGGATCTATATTGGACAAATGCGCACTATGCTTTCAGATGATTCAAAAATCCGTTTTCTTTGCCTCTTTATTTTGATGGTGGTTTGATTTTCTTTTTAAATCACTAAACCCGTGCTCTGGTGGCCTGGCCACAGCCTGAGGGTCTCGGTGGCTTGTGCCCGGCCCGGCAGCAGGGCTGCGGCGACACGCACCGAAGACGGAGGCTCGGGGTGTGCGCCCGCGCTGCCGGCCGGAGGACTGGCGTGCTTCCTGGCGCCCGCGCCCGCCGCTGGCTGTCGGAGGTTCCGGTGGCTCCCAGGCTCGGACCCCGGCGTCCCCTGCTCATTCCAGCCGAGTCTGCTTCTCTGACGTTCTTGGTCCCGTCGGAACATTTCGGTGCAGAAGACACTGCGATGTGAATGCCCAAGAGAAAAGCCATCGGAACGTGCACTGGTCAGAGGACCAGTGGAACCGCTTTCTACAATAAACTCTCCTGCCCTCATGCCACTGTTGGTCTTTATTTCTGTAACACGATTCTGAGGCGGGTTCACAACACCAGGGCGACCGAGACAGCCTGGGCTTCTGTTTAACTGCAGGCCGAGTGGTTTCTACGCAGCAACTCTGGTGCCACAGGGCTGTTCTACGGCCATGGCCACATGTACGGCCGCAGGCTACATGTACAGCCACAAATCACAGCTACAGCCACAGTTACAGCTACAGCCAGGGTCACAGCCACAGCCATAGGTCACAGACACAGGTCACGGCTACAGTAACGGGTCACAGTCACAGCCAGGGTCACAGCCACAAGTCACAGGTCATATCTACAGTCACAGGTCACGGCTACAGCCAGGGTCACGGCTACAGTAACGGGTCACGGTCACAGCCACAAGTCACAGCTACATCCAGGGTCACAGTCACTGCCAGGGTCACAGCTATAGTCACAGGTCATATCTACAATCAGGTCACAGCCACATCCACAGGTCACGGCTACAGCCTGGGTCACAGTTATAGCCAGGGTCACAGCCACAGCCACAGGTCACAGCTACAGCCTGCACGTGAGGCCCACGTAGGTTTTATTGATGGCTCCGAGCATAGGATTGGCCAGAATGAGAAGGCAGTACTCGCTAAGTGACAGGCATGGCGGGCTGAAAGCTCCAGAGGTGGGTCCGTAACCATGACAGCAGGTTCCCAAAGGGTGTGGCCTGAGGGGTCACCCATGCACTGAGCGGCTGGCTGGCTGTAGCGGATCAGAGCAGCCTCTTCGCAGACGTGGGAACTGAATGGTGAGTGCAAAGCGTGACGGAGAGGAGTGAGACCACCTGCCTGCTGAGGGAGGGGGACAGACTGCCGTCAGCCGCGCTGTGGGGTTGGGGTCCCTGTCGGCAGGAGCGCCCGCCCTCAGCTGTCTCTGCCACTCTCCTACCTGACTGCTGTCCCCTGGCCCAGCCCACTCCATCCTGCCCGTGCTGCCTGCTCCCCGGCCCCCCTCCCTCCAGGAACCCCGCTCTCTAGCCCCCCTCCGGGAAGCCCTGTTCTGGCCTCCCATGCTGCCTGCTCCCCACTCTCCGGGCCCCCCCAGGGAGCCCCCACTCGGCCCCGCAGAGCCAGCAGATGCCAGGGGCAGCCGCTGCCAGAGGACGGAGAAGACACTCGGTGTTCCTGCGTATGATCCACCACCAGCTCATCGCCGCCTGTGCCCGCCCAGCTGGGAGACGGCACTGGAGGCCGGGAGGGCGGAGCGGGCAGACGCGGCCCTGACCTCGGCCACGCAGGCATTTCCCTGCGACGCGCCCCCTGCAGAGCCGAGCTCTGCCTCCGGGGCCGGCGGTACAGCCGAAACTCGTGTGGACCGAGTGCTCGATTCCAGTCAAGGGCATGTACCTTGGTTGCGGGCACATCCCCAGTAGGTGTGCAGGAGGCAGCTGGTCGATGTTTCTCTCTCCTTGATGTTTCTAACTCTATCCCTCTCCCTTCCTCTCTGTAAAAAAAACCAATAAAATATATAATAAAAAACAAAACAAAACTGGAGGGGTTTCGGGTTAGCAAGTTCCCCAGCTTGACGCTGACGCTGACTTGGAGAACCCGCTGGTGTTTGGAGCCTGTGCTTCCTTACGTTTGGCCCCGCGGCCCTGCCTGTGAACACACGCCCCTGGGAGCCGCCAGAGGGCTGGGCGCCCGCCACGTGGCCAGGACCCGTGGCACCTGCATGAGGCCACCGTCCCTGCACCCGTGGACCCCCCTGAGCTAGGCACCTGCCGGGAGAGCAGACCAGGCCCTGAGGGAGGAGCTGAGCTGAGCGCTCCTGCTGGCAGGGCAGGCGGTCTGAGCGGAGCCGCACCGAGCCCCGCGGACACGAACCATCGCCAGTCACTGTGACAGCAGCCCCCGAGGAAGCTCTTGTCATGCACAGGGCGTCTCCCGAGGAGAAATGCCGAGCAGTGGCCCTGTCCTCCAGCGGAAGGTCAGGAGGCCTGGCTGTGGGCATCGGCCAACAGGCACCACGGTGACCATGCGGGAGTCCGAGAGCCGGTGGGTGGGAGGGAGGGAGGAGGTTTTCATTGTACACCTTATGTCTTTGAATGTCAATGATTGAATGTAGTTTCTATTTTAAAATTAAAGAAACATTTTAAAATTGACAGGGAGACAAGCAAAAACAAAAACAAAAAAAAACCTTAAAAAGGTTCTTGCAGGTGCCAGCCGGCCGGGCTCAGCAGCTGAGGGGGGACCTGCGAACCAGAGGTCAGGATTCTTCCCGCTCAGGTACTTCCCGGGCTTCAGGCTCCATCCCTAGTGTGGAGTGTGCCGGAGGCAGCCGGTCAGTGATTCTCTCTCATCACTGATGTTTCCATTTCTCTCTTCTTCCTTCCTCTCTGAAGTCAATAACTTTATATATATCTATATTTGTCTACCTGCTCTCTATCTATCTGTAACAATGAACCGACATATAAACTAGAGGCCAGTGCATGAAATTCATCCACAGGGGTGGGGAGGGTGTCCCTCAGCCCAGCCTCTACCCTCTGTAATCTGGGACCCCTGGAGGGATGTCCGACTAAACAGGCAGCCAGACATCCCTCTCACAATCCAGGCTCACCTGCCTGCCTTCCTGATTGCCCCTAACTGCTCTGTCTGCCAGCCTGATCACTCCTAACCATTCCCCTGCCAGCCTGATTGATGCCTAACTGCTCTCCTGCCAGCTTGTTTGTTCCTAACTGTCCCTCCCCTGCAGGCCTGGTCATCCCTAACTGTTCTCCCTTGCAGGCCTGGTCCCTCCCAGCTGCCCTCCCCTGCTGGCCGTCTTGTGGTGGGCCATCTTGTGTGTTGGCGTGATGGTAATTTGCATATTACTCTTTTATTAGGTAGGAGGATTAACATGAACCACAGCATGGTTTGCTTTTTTTGTTGGTTTTTTTATTAATTTTTTACAGAGAGAAGGAAAGAGGGATAGAGAGCTAGAAACGTCAATGAGAGAGAAACATTAACCAGCCGCCTCCTGCACACCCCCCACCGGGGATGTGCCCGCAACCAATGTACATGCCCCTGACCGGAATCGAACCCAGGACCTTTCAGTCTGCAGACCGACGCTCTACCACTGAGCCAAACCGGTTTTGGCCGCAGCGTGGTTTCCCTTCTTTAGGGCCTTGGCCTTAAGAGCCAGAGGGACCCCCGGGGCCGTCCTGCTTCCCAGCCCTGAGACCCCGGGCAGGCCCCTCCTCTCCTGCGGGAGGTTATGGCTCCTGGGGAGACGGGAACGGCTGTGTGTGCACAAGGCTGTGAGCACCGGCAGCGCACTGGCCTCGTGGGCCACGCACACAGCGGGCATGGAGCCAGCTGCCTGGGCCGGCCCCGCCCTCCTCCGCGGCCGAACCCCGCTCCTCTGGGCGCGGTCCGGCGTGTCCACCGCCGGCGGCCGCCCCCTGCTCCCGGCCCGCGTCCCTGGGCCCGGCACTCCTTGCACTTGGCGCAGTTTTCGCTTCTCCTCCTCCAGCCAGCCGGCTTCTTTCCGGTGTTTTCCAGGCTTCGGGCAGCGCTGGCGAGGTAAGCGGTGACTCAGACGTCCCGCCGGCCCACGTGGTGTCTGCCGTGCAGATAGCAGCAGGGCGGCGGGGACCGGGACTGTCTTCCTCTCCTGGTTTCAACCGCTCGGCAAGCCCGGCCCAAAGCGGCTGCGCGGGGCTGCGGGTTCTCCCGGTGAGAGTCTGGCGTGGCACCGCGGCGCCCACAGGGCGGCACCGCTCCCGGCTGGGCGACGGGGCACTGAGCCGCCCGGCGGAGCGGCGGGGGCATCTGGTCACCCTGGCTTCCTCTCGTCGCTGCAGCGAAGTGTCCCGCCCTCGCGGCTGAAACAGCAGATTTCTCGCCCTCAGTTCCGGGAGGTGGAGCCCAGATCGGAGGTCACTGAGCCCCTTCTGGGGACGCCAGGCTGCCCGTCATTAACTCGCGGCCAGGGCACAGGGCCGGGTGTGTGCTCAGTCCCCAGGAGGTGGTGGGAGAGTCCTTCCGCTGCCCCTCCCGGCTTCCAAGGCCTCCCTGCTCAAGGCC